AAAAAAAAAACGCTGACGAATTACAAGACATTTATTTACTAAGTGACAGAAAGAACGAATGAGAAATTATAAGATTAATAAAACAGACAATATTATTTAATCTCCTCGAATAATAGAATAAATTTTACGAACAAACCAAAAACAAGCAAGAAAACCAATTGTACCTATGAAGAAAAAAAATAAAATAATAAAATTTTGATTTTGATTTATTTTTACCGGTAAATAAAAATAGAATAAATGTTAACATTAATGTATAACCAAAATAAAGAAATGTTGATGTACCATCAGATATTTCTAATTTAGTTGCAAAATAATAAACTGAATATAAAAAGAAATAAACAGCTGTAAAACCCGATGTAAAAAATGAACGCCACCACCAATTATAATCCTAAAATAAAATAATTCAGGTTTTATTTTATTTTATATTAATACATACTTCAGCACATAAATGAAAATAACAAAGAAGAATTGTTGTTTCAGAACATGTTAATAGTAAAATTATATAAACAACAAGTAAAAATCCAAAGAAATAATAATATTGATGTGCCCTAGAATTATTTTGATGAAATTTAATAAAATATTATAGAATGGAATTTACCAGATACTATTTAAGATAAAAAATAATTGAATAAAAATACAACCGAATGGAAGAACACCACCCATTAAAACTCCTATTGAAAAATTTTTATTTCGAAAAAAAAATATTTTAGAATTTTACCTGGTATAGGTTTTGTATACATTGTTTGTTCGGGTATTTGTCGTGGAATATGATTAACTCGAACTGGATGTCTTGGAGTCTAGAGATTATCAAAATCGAAAAATTATTTTATTCCGATTTATTTTTATCTTACCGGAGATCTAAAACCATGAAAAGCCCCGAGAAATACAAGAGGTGTTGATACACAAAACCATAAAGCAAGTAATGCTATAAATGTTGTAAATGGAATAGCTGCTGAACTACCATTTGCCCAAAGGATAATATTTAAAATAAAGAAAATACCAAAAATAACACTAAAAGAAAAATCAATTCGGTCTTTTTTTTAAAGAATATATTATTCTAATTGTTACCCAGGACATGCAAGTGCTGTCATCATAACATTTTTTTTCCTATCTTCACCACCAAATACTATTCAAATAGAAAATCTTGTTTATTAAAAACTTATTTGAATATCAAATTTTACGTTTATATAAACGAGCTGAAGTATAACCAGCTGCTGTACCCAAAAGAACATAACAAATAATAGCACCTGAATAAATTAAATAAGTTTTTCGGCAAGAGAATACAATAGAATAGTTACATGTCATTAAAGCACCTCGACGTGCTGGTGAAAGAAATCCAAGGCAAGCAAAAACTAAAGAAATACACTGTAATAATTAAATCAAATTATAATCAACTTACTCAAAGTTATTAAAGACATAATTGCAATTTGTATACCATTACCAATAAGAACAGATAACAGTAGACCATAACGTGGTGGTCGAAATACATCACCATGAACTCTAAGAAAAAAAAAAGAAACATATAGTTAACATAATTAATAATATAATTACAGTTTCCATCCAAATTCTTCTTGCATATCATCCTAATAAAACAATTCGAGGAATAATTATATAAATTTCTTTCCTTGTTTTTTTCTTACTTCGTTAATAGTATACATATGTTCATGATAACGTGCAATATCTCTACATAATGTACGTAAAAGAACCATAGCAACCATACCGGAAAGAAGAAGAACAATGACAAGAGAATTAAATATCGAAAACCATTGAATACGTGTTTGTGGCAATGATTTAAGTATATAATCCCATCGACTAACCCATCGTATATCATTATTTTTTTTAAATTTAACACTATATGTAAATGGAATTTCTATATCTTTTACAGTTGAATGAAACATGACAGGTCCAGCACCACGTGTACAAGTCGCTGAATTCAAACTATAAAAAAACAAATGAAGAAATTCAATTAACTTTGATTCGCTGATCAAATTCTATTGATAAGATTACTAAAGGAATCTAATAACTTTTTTAGATCATTTCATAGGTTTTATCTTACAATATTATATTATAATCTAACGAACCTGCTAACTTGAACTTTAGCTGCAACAATTCGACCACCATCTTCTCCAAAAGCTTCTCCCCATGATTCACCTATGATTAAAAATAAATCAAATATTCTTTCTCAACAAATTAATTCAGTAATTAACATACCTTCTCCACTATGATAAGTTATTTCAAAATCCAAATGATTAAATACATAAAATGTATCATTTTTTCCATCATGAATATTACATGCTTCTCTTGATTGTCCTCGTTTTGTTACATAACAACCAATAGGAAATCCACGTGAACAAAATTCTTTGCTTTCAGCATTTGAATAACATAATGTAACCGGCATATTATCAATTATCCAATGTTGTTGATAATTTAAAGTCATACCTTTCATTAAACGTTTAAGAAATTTTTGTTCGTTCTCATCAGTTGATGTAAATTTCTTTTTACATACAAACTGACAATCGACATCTTTAAGAAAATTAAACTAAAAGTAATATTTTTTTTTCTTTTTTCTTTTAAACTTATAAATATTAATAACTAACTTTATATGGTGAAGGACGTATTCGTTCACCAAATAGAACTTGACCAAGATTTCCTTCTGGTGACGGTTCATCAGTAATAGTACAAAAATCAAAACTAATTTAAGAGAAAAAAACAGAATGTGGTTTTTTAGTTAAAGTAATTCAACTAACTATGCATATTCATATGGTAAAACAGATTCAACTGAATCAAGTCGATTGACAAAGACATCAACTTTAGTCTAAAGAAGAAATTTCAAATAGAATTAATTTTTCTTTTATTTTTAACAAACTTTGCATTTTGAATCTGCTATTGGTTTACGACAATAGATATTTGGTGCTAAACCAGGTAAATAGAAAGCATGACTGGTTAATAAACATAAAACCACAAAAAACAAATTTAGAATTATTTTCATTCTTATATCTGAAAATTAATTTGATCGATTTATATTCTGAGATTTTCTTGTTTTTTTTGTCAATTTGATATTCAAATAAATAAACTTCTATACAAACCAAAATTTATTTTTTATTTGAATTACCGTGCCTTTGTCTAACAAAAAAAAGAAAAAAGAGAGAAAAAAATTTAAGTGAAACTAAAATAAACGGACTGTTGCCTATGCAATATCTTTAAATATATGCTTGACATGTCTCCCTTTTCTTTTGCGTTTATTACGACTACCCGGTCGGTTACAACAAAAAAGAAAACGAGAGAAAAAAAAAGAATAAAACTTCCGTTCTTATTTAACGCCAAAAGAAAAAATAGTGTATATGATTAAGAAAAAATTACCGAACCGTAACACCTGAGAGCTATTACAATATCGTGTTTTTTTATTTCAAATAAAACAAACAGAAGATAGTTAGGCCAATCATGATATATACAGAAGAGGATCGATATCATATGATATGTCCTTTAAAATAACCAATCAATATATAATTTCTATAACTAATTGTCATGTTATTTTAATATTTTTCACTAACTAAAAATAGTGTATGTTGAGCACCAACTGATATTTGTCGAATTTTTCGTTCTTCTAATTGTTTACCTTTGACTAAAGTTGGAACAAAAATATCGTTATTTCCATGACCTGTTTGACATGTATCACCCATACCAAATGAATAAATTTCTCCGCTATTATTAATAGCAAATGAAACACAACCACCACCAGCAATATCAACAATATTTATTAGTTTATCTATTTGTTTAGGTATAATCACATCATTAATATGATTATTACCTAAACGTCCATCATCACTTCTTCCAATACCATAAACATATCCCATTGAATCAAGTATAAGTGTATGTTGAAGACCGCAAGCAATTTGTATAATTTTATCAACTAATGGAAATTCTTTAATTTGAAGTGGTGAATAAATAGGTTGTTTTAATGAATGACCTAATTGTCCAAAACTATTAGCACCACAACTATAAAGATGATTATGAGTTAAAACAAAAAATCCATGACCACCAGCCCAAATATTTAATATATGTTGTTGTTTAAAACAAGGAATTTCACATGGTTGTAACCATGTTGAAAAAGTCGCATCACGTCCTAACTGTCCAGTTTCATTATTACCAAATGAATAAAGATCGCCTAGTATAAAAGAAACACAAAAGTAGTTCTCGTTTGTTATTTTTTTGAAATATTAATTTCTTAATGTAAAGAAAATTCTACCATTTTCCGTTAGTAATAGACAAAAATCAGCACCACATGCAATCTGTTTAATTAATTGATTGAGTGGAATAAGAATTGGTTGTTGTGCTATTTGTTTATGTTGAAATAAACCAAGTACACCTTCACTACCTCGAAAGCAACCACTAATATAAGCTCGACCTGATTTTGCTAAAGCAACTGTAAATGAATCACCTGCACAGAGTGTATTAATTTCTTCAGGTAATACAAATAATCCAGGTGTGTACTCATCATCAACATGATCTGTTATTCGACCTAAAGCTCCATCATCATTACAACCCCATGTATAAACATGACCATTGACAGTAAGAGCACATGAATGCATAGCACCAGCACATATATATTGAATATTTTCGATGACATCTGAATGATTGGTAATTTTTAAATATTGCGGTTTATGTCGTTCGATGATTGTTGATGATAGGCCAAGTTGACCGCAAATATTTTGACCGCAAACAAGAACAAAACTTGACAATTCAACTGTTATCTTTTGTTTTTTTTCGATTGTTAGCAATGATTTAGTTTCTTCTAAATTGGATCGTTTACGATTTAAACGATGATGAGGAATCATAGTTTTTATTTTGGATTCTCGATTTCGTAGATTTGGAATAAAATTAGGTAAATTCAATTGAATTTTTGATGTATTTACATGGTGCAAGAATGAAGTAACATCCAAATGAATTCTCCAACTCATAGTTATATAAATATAAGTATATATAAAGAAAAATTCTTTTTTATTTTCGAATAGATCACGCGCTCAATGAGCTGATTTATTAACTCTTATTCTTAAATTTTAAAAATAAAAAAAAGTTACGGGTCAGAATCACATTATACTCGTTAAATAACATGAAACATTTCAGTGTAAGAGCGACTCGTTTGTAAATCGGGTAATGTTGAGCTTTTGGCAAGTTTTTGTAGTTCAACTGGCATACCTCCATTAGAAACATGATATCGTAGATTTTCAATCTCTTGAGGACGTTGATGATGCTGATTGTGTCGTACGTATTGGGAAGCATTTTGAACTGGTGATGAATATGGATCATGTTGTTGATGATGACGTGATACTTGTTTTGGTTGTCCTTGGTGGTTTATTGATTGATTATGACCCATTGGCTTTACAATTGACGTTGGTAAAGATTGTTCAATTTCAGTCTCTATCATTGATGCTGGTCGATCTGTTTGAAGTGGTAGTGTACGAAAGAGCCATGGACTTTCTAAACTATTCCTTTCCAATATAGTCATAGCAAGAAATGGTACTCGACGAGCAATATCAAATAGTTTTTCTAATTAGAAGAAGAAATAATAATAATAATCCAATTACAGATTTTATATTAGAATAGACAAACCTGGTAAATACTTTCCACCTGAAAAATGTCTTGTTAATCCTTCTAGACTTGGAGCATCTAAATAAATTTCATCTTGTAAATTAGATGAGAAAATTTAATGAATAAATAATATTATTTACGTGCTACTATCAAAATAGTTCCACCAGTAGCCTGATGTCGTCTTATAATAATATCCATAATTGCTTGACATCGTTCATAATAATCAAGTTGACTATCATGTGGTCGCATAAATGACATTACAGCTTGATAAGATCGATCGATATTATATCCATTTACTGCTAATTCATCTTTCGTCATAAAACATAATGTTCGTTTAAAATCATTTAAATAACATTCAAATAGGCCTGGCTCCTATTTCAAAAAATACATCAATATTTAATACTATATATCATTTAATTAAATAATATAACTTACTAATTGCATAGCTACATTTTTTCTACCCATACCCGATAAAATTTTATCAGCACTTTGTACACATCGTAATGATGGACTTGTATAACAGATATCAGCAGCATATCCATTGCTTAATAATGAACGACCTGTTTTATATGCATGCATACGACCACGATTTGTTAATGGTACATCAATTACATAATGATGTAAATAGGAACGAGCTGGTAATCTAAAATCAAAATTTTAAGATTTCTAAAATAGGTCAAAGAAAAAACATACGCATCCGGTAAATGTTCACTAAATCGTGTATAACGACCAAGTCGATCAAAACTTTTCTTTGACCATTCTGATCCTAAAACAGCATCAGCTCGTTCAGCATGACGAATAATAATAATTCGAAGTGGTTTCACTGGTGATAAATGTCCAGGTATTGGTGTATGTAAATGTGCTCGTCGACGTATTTGTGGGGGAGGATTAGGATATTGTCTATTTGTGTATTCATCAATTGATGATATATACTCTGTTTCTTGCGGCTTAGTTACAAGATTTTCTTTCGATGATTGTTGCTAGAAAAAAATATATATATATATATGAAAAATAACATGTAACTATATGATGTACACCTTTGCAATCATAGATTGATATTGTTCCATCAATTTCATCAATTCGAATTCGTAATTTTCCATTGGAATCTGATTATTATGATTTTGATTACCATTGACATGATAATGAGCCATTAGAATATTTTAAATAATTTTATAATACTAAAACAAAGATCAATGTTTTCTAACTCGATCATGACAAAAAACTCAATCTCCTCTTATTTATTCGAAAAAGACAAATAAATATATGCACAATGCGGCAGGTATGCATCTATATATATATATATATGCGACAATATTCATCGGCGTTTATAATCATTCTTTTGTTTGTAAGATAGCAATGACTTATTACTCACTGAATTGTATACAAAGAAAAAAAAATGCATATGGGTTTACTTTGCATTTCTATCATTAACGTATTGCTTTAGTCAACGAGCAAAAAACACCATTACGAGTTACAGATTTGTAAATAATATTTAAGAAGAAAACATGTTTATTACGCATATTTGATATTTCACCTGTTTATTGTTAAATATTTGTCATTATTGTTTTCTTATATTTGTATCAAAAATAAATTTATTTATTTACACATATCGAGGAGAAAAAAAAACACAATTAAATCAAATAAATATATTAATCAGACTTTTCTTTTAAATCAAAAATCACAGTTAGCGACTAGTAAAATTCAAGATTTGGTTCAGCTATGATCGAACACCAGCATGCATCTGAACATATTTCTTCAAAAAATCTTCTGTTGCCATATTAGGTATTAATTGTTCGATAAATAAATCAAATAAATTACAAATAAAATGTCTAAATAATAAAAATATCTTTGTTTTTTTTCTTCTTTGAATCAATACAAACCGATTAAGTTCTTCATGGCTTAAACAATCAAGTAAATTACTAATTACACGACGAACATTATCTACACCGACGATTTGTTGAAGCCAACCTTTTGAATATATATTCAATATATAATAAAAAACAATTGAAAGAAATTCCTTACTTGGAATTTTATTGATACATGCATTAAGTGCTCGACGTTTAACATTTTTCATTGGGATAAATGTATTCTCATCAGCAGGCCAAAGAACTTTTTCGCGTATGTCAACCAAATACATAAGAATATTTTCTTTGGAAAGTATATCATCAATTTGTTCTTTTAAAAATCTAAACAAGAAAAACAATCGTTTTGATTGTAAATAAGAAATAAATAAAACCGAACTCTTCAATCAAATGACCAAAAATTGTACGAAGAATTCGATGCGTAGATTCATAATTAATCATTTTATCGCGAGAATGTAAACATGTTTGGATTAAATTAAGTGTTGTGTCAGTTAATGGTATATCGGATTCTAATTTAGAACAGAAGCAATAGAAGAAAAAGAGGATTTTTCTTTTGAATTTTCTTACGAAGTTTCTCTTTTCGACGCGATGTTGCAATCGAAGGACGTGTTAACAACGATTGTAAAAATTCCGTATCAGTAGGATTTAATGTTAAAGAATTTGACGTAGATCGTAATGATGATTGTCGAACAAAATATCGTAACTCATCCATAGTAGACGATGTCTAAATAATAAATTCTATGAAGATATGGAAGACACAAATGTATAAAAGACAGATTTTGTCATCGATTTTTTTCAAATATTATTAATGAAGCATGTCGTTATGCTTAATATATATTGATAGGTGTCAAAGGAACGATAGGACTCTTATCGTGAATATTAATCTCTATAATGTCTCTTCAAATTAAATCTGTTCGTACTATTGACATAAGACTTGCTGTATTAGTTAACATACTTTTTCATATGTTGGTGTAATATTTAATTGAAATGTTTCACGTATTTGTAATTCACGTTTAGTTGGAAGTAAATTATTTAGTTTAGTACCAACATCCGATATAGTACGAAGGAATGCCTTAAAATATTTTTCTAAAACAATAAATTTGATTGATATTTATATATTTTACTTTATCAGGACGTGGAACTGGTAATCTAGTAGGTGCTAATGGTTCAAATAGTATATTCGGATCAGAATTATAAGCAAAAAATTCAAGAGCATCATGTGAACAATTGAGAACTTCATTTGAAATTAATTTCTAAAATATATTTTATATATTAAAATAATATTCTGAACTCTAATTAAATAAATATACTTGAATATATTGATCAAGTATACATTTTCGTCGATGAATAATTTCTGAATTCATACTATCAATTGGAATAGGAAGAGCACGAAAAATTTCATCAATATCTAAAATAATTAGAAAAAACATGTTATTTGATTGAATAAAACGTTAATTGCAAACCATAAGAATGTCGGCCTGTTATGGGATTTTGTTGTAATCTTCTATGTAGATTCAAAAATTCACTAAAACGTCGTCGAACTGAATATTGATGAATAGTATTGGCTGCATATGGAGACTTCGTTTCCATCTATAAAAACAAAATAATTTTAATTTATCTTCTTTATCGTATCTTACTTGTATAACATAAGCAGTATAAGGTGCGCCAGTCCTGGCATTATAGGCTATTTCATGTGAACTGATAGTCGCTGAATAAATAATGCGTTCCAAACGTGATCCTCTACGTTCGTCATTATGATTTGGTTGATCAACAGGATCTTCTGCTAACATCGGAGGTTCATTTTCATTAATATTCGCTGTAGGTTGTACTATTAAAGAATCTTCATTCATTCTAATAGCATTTTTCTGTTCTTCTGTTTCGAATAGAATAACAATTAAATAATAAATCATTCGTGGATTAGAAAACGTATTAAACAATGGTAAAAATATACAATTAACAATAATTTGTGTAAGAAATTCTTTTCCTGTATGACTACCAGAATAAACATGAAAAGATTCTGGTACTAAATCTGTTAAAAATAATTCACTCAATGCTTTTAAATATGCATGTATATCATTATTTACAATTGATCGATGAAAACCAATAATTTGTGAAAATTCTTCAACAACTGATTTACTTATTCGATTTTCTCTACGTTGTCTTCTATATGAATCACTTGCATGTAAATATTGTTCCATATGTTTATGTTTTAAATTAATTATACGACGAATTAGATCATAAGAATTTAAAGATTTAAGACGATCATTTAAACGATTTAAAATTATATCAAATATAATTATTAAATCTTCAGGAAATTCTTGATCGGTTGATATTAATGGATAATACCAAACACTTATATAACGAGCAATTATTATTCGAATATATGTATCACATTCTTTTTGTAGGGATATTTCAAATGAATGGGTTGTATCACTAATTTTATCATCTGTTCGTTTTCGAATGAAAATATTATATATATAACCAGATATTTTCAATGGTGATTGATTCGTATGAGATAAACGTTTTATTACAATATTTGCAATTATTGTACTTAAAGGCAATAATAAGATACACCACCAACGATTGAATATTAGAAGGAAGACCGAGGATAAGGATAAAATTATGAGATATTGTTGAAGGAAGGAAAAACGTTGAATTAAATTAATTAGAAAATGATGATACATGTCATTGGAATCTTTGTTTTAGTTTTGGAAGAGTAAAGACTATCATATCAGGTGCTCCATTGACTTGTCATTTCATTGATAGAGAACGAAAGAAGTCTAACACAAATATAGTTCATTGATATTAGATGTCGCTCATAGCAGATATCATCGAACTTTTAAAATATTAATCTTCAACTAAAATCATTTACATATAAATTACTCTAAAAATTTAAATATATTTTTTTAGTTTTTAAAATAGATTTATTATCACATTTTTTTTCAATGTTTAAATTGCAGTTAAAGTCCAAAAATCTAATGTTTTAATAATAATATTATCCTCGATAGTTGGAATACGAAGCGCATAAACACCTAAATTTTTAGCATTTTCTTCTTCGGGATAAACACGTCCTGTAATAGCAATGCGTCCATTTTGTGGTTCAAATATTTCAATAACTGAATGATCAATAAATATATCTAATTCAAGTAAAAATTGATTATTTAACATTGTTGAATTCATCCAAATTGTACCATGAATGGGAGAATGTGAAGCACCTGGATTTCTTTGTGATAAAACACGATTAATATAAATCCAAACAAGTTGTTGATTAATTTTTTGTTGTTTTACACCTGATACACAAAACCAACTTGCATACTTTAATGGAATACCGGATTTAAGAAAGCAATTATTATTAATTTGTTTACTCGTATCATATGTCCATGCATGACATTTATTATCATGGTCACATGCAGATTGACAATCAAACCATTGAGTTACATTTGGAACACTAAAATAATCGAATCCAGGAAAATCCCAATTCATCATAACACTTGTATTTGTTAATGTTGAAATACCAATGTCTGTTCGTTGTGTACCATCAGGTGTAGAAAGAACGATTAATCCAAAATCTAAAGTCTATAAAAGCAATTATAGAATAGAGAGAGAGAAAATTGAAATGTATACTTGATTCACAGGAAATTGCCAATTAATAAGTACTTCAATTTGAGTACCATTTATATTTGGTATAAGTTCAAAAGGAGTTTCTAATCCTAATATAACATCTTGAAATTGTCGATGAGTATTAGGATCACGTAATGTTGTTAATGCATCAATTGGACGTGTACGTATTTGTAAATCATCATCTGATAGAAATATTGCACGTGGAAGTGTTAATAAACCTTGCCAACCACGTTGTTCAGCTTGATTATCATCTTCTGCTGCCCAACCTACAACGATTTGTTGTTTATGAATTGGATCATAAAATGTTTTTGAAGCATAAAATTTTCCATAATCAATTAATTGAGTATATTCTCCAAGATCATGATTAATTGGTATAAAAATAAGTTTTATTGGATCAATATATCCTATTGTCCAAAAATCACGACCAAGTAAAGATGCTTTTAAAACTGTATAATTTAATAATTTAAATATATCTGGACACTCCCACATTGTATCATAATGATTACTATGTAATGGATGTAAATATGTCCAATTTAAAAAATCTTGTGAAGTAAATAATACAGCTTGTCCACCTAAATCTTGTGTACCATAACCATAAATTAAATAATAATTATTTTCATTATCTTGAAATGCTGTTGATGGATCACGACCATCTGGATTTGTTATAAGAGGATTTAATAAAGATTTTGTCCAATTTGTTAATGTTGGATCAGATAAATTAGATGGTCGAGCTTGACATTGAACTTGTTGATGTGTATTTGTTATACCAGTATATATTATAACTGGAATGCCATTAACAATAGTTGTACTTCCAGTCCATACTCCAATGATATCATAGGATTGATCAGGTAAAAGAGCAATTGGCAAATCAATCCAATGAACCATATCCGTACTATAAGAATGACCCTTTAAAATAGAAAAAAAATAATGAACAGATATTATTAGATATGCATTATCTCACCCATTGCTTTTGATCCGCTGGAACAACATTGGGATAATATTGATAGAACATATGATAGTATCCATTGTAATAAACAGGTCCATTTGGATCATTAAGCCAATTTTTTGGTGGCATTAAATGATATTGTGGACGTAATGGATCATCAGCGAAAGTAACGCCGAGAATAACAATTATAGACATGAAGAAAAACATTGTTTGCAGATGTCTGTCTGTGAGTATGAGTGAGTGTGAATGTGTATATTGTGCAACGTTATATCTTTTATCTTATTATCTCCACTCGAACAATAATAGACTGTAATTTAGATAGAGAAATGTAACTACTCGAATTGATCGACGACTACTGTTAAGAAGAATATGATTTCTGAACATAATGCAAATTAATTGTTGTTACTATGTTGAATTAATCAATAAGAAATTATTTTATTATTTAGTTATTTTTGACAAATAAATTGTGTGTTCCTTTTTTTATATTTGTTTTACTGATAAAATCATAGATATGTGAAGTAAGAAAAGGCATATTGTTTCTTCTTATTTATGTGTGAATAATACCAAGAAAAATAATAAGATGATTTGTTTTATTGTATGATTTATTATTGACAAATTTAAGAGCTTTTCGTCTTAATCAGATGATTATTCATCTTTACTGGATTAAGACAAGATAAGTAAATGCACATTGTTCTGTTGTCAATTTTTGTAGCTACCTTATACCATTTATTCTTCATTGTCTATTGTGCTTTTTTCGAGAGAGACAACAAGAGAAAGAAAGAGAGAGTGGCGAATATATAATCCCTACTTCACTATGAATATATCTGTTTGTGAAGAGCTTCTTTTCTTTTAACATGCCTATACGATAATCGAGATGAGTCAAACTTGTAAAACGGATCGACTATTGAAGATCAAAGGAAGAAACAGATGAATGCGATATATCGAAAACAGTTCATTCACTTTTTTTTTCTCTATCAATAGTTATTATAATTATAACACATAAATATATCATATTGATTTTAAATAGAAAGTGACACTTGCATACAAATAATAATAGTACTATTTCATTCACCTTCTCCCTCTCTCTCTCTCTCCATTTACATACCAAAATTGTTGATCAATCCCATCCTAACCTCTACCTTACGACTTCATTCTTTTCCTTCTTTTAAATATGTAAGTTGATCTGTACGTATTCAAAAGTTGTATGTTATATTATTTCGTTTATAATATATTTAAATATAATCTTTTGGTGATTGTCAATCTATTTGTCTTGGTTGAATAATGACAAGTCATTTCTAATTTTCTTTCTCGTGCTTTTCTTATTACATTCATCGATGATTTTTCCTCTTTTTCTTTTTCCCTAGATGTTCGTCCAGAAACGAAGACGAGATATAGATGACAGTGAAGGAGAACGGAAGAAAAAAAAAGAAGAATGTTCTTCTCTAACAATAGATTCACATTCACACTTTTTCTCGTTGTATTGCATTAGTCGCAACGGTCAGTCTATTCAGTTCAGAATAATACGCATATTTTCTATTGTTTCTTCTTTAACGTAAAGTGAATGGACGAATAATATAGAAGAATCAGTTTCTTTGTTTAACAGAACAATTTTCTCCTTCTTTTTTTGTAGATCATGAGCTCAAATAAAGGCGGGTTTAGATTGCTTAATCGGGATCTTACATCAGGTTATAAACCAACACAATGGCGATCAACAGTTTCAGCACCTTCATGTGCACTTTGTAATAAAGCAGTCTTTCCTGCTGAAGAAGTTATTGGAGCTGGACAAAAATATCATAAACTTTGTCTCAAATGTTGTATGTATTCTAATCTTTACTATATCTTTTTATCTTATGTTGTTTTGTTTTTCTTTCAGCTTCATGTAATACATTACTCAATTCAGGTAATGTTAATGAACATGACAAAAAGATTTATTGCATGGGATGTTATCGTCGTCAATTTGGACCACATGGAGGTTAGAATATTATGATTAGTTTTTATATTGAATCTATTTTAAATATTGTAGTTGGTCGGGGTCTTGGAACAACCGTATCACAAAGTTTAGATACACCACCAACAAGTCCAAATTCTAATCGAGTGGAAACAGAATTTAACAGTGAAACAACCAATAGTGATAATGATAATTCTCAACAAAGAAATTCATTGACTTCATCACAAGTACGAACATCACCTGATGATGATCGACGTCATAGTAGTTCTCAAATGAATAGTGTTACATATATTGGTGGAGTAACAACAAGACAAACAGTATCAACCGTACCGCGTCCTTCATCAGCTAATCTTTCAAATGGAAGTGGATTTAAGATGTCGTCTAAATCAGGAAATACATGTCCACGTTGTTCAAAAACAGTTTATTTAGCTGAGGAAGTTAAAGCTGCTGGCAAATCATTTCATAAAAGTTGTTATACGTGTGCTCATTGTAAAAAGAGTATCAATGCTGCTCGATATTGTGAACATGAAGGAGAACTTTATGATAA